CGGTGGCGGCAAAGATAACGTTTCATTGCGATCGAATTGTTTAATTTGCCATCATAGCATATCATTATTATTATTGAAGTGAACATTTTTAAAAAACGTCACGAAGATGTGCAGCGCTTTTGTCGAAGAAAAGGGAGAGAGCGATTGAGACCGATTGAAAGAGAGTGGAAAGGGTGAATTACATTGTATTTGAATTACAATTTAAAATTAAAATTCCGGAAAGATAATTTATGAAATATTAATATTTTATAATTTATGCACAATATTTTTTTGAAATCTCAAATGACCAATTGTAAATTAAAATGCCACGTGTTTTTATTATCGAAGAAATAAATTAAAAAAATATATATTATTTGTTATAATTTCTAACATATCTTCCTTTTTCCCTCCCTCTAAGTCTTGGAAATATAAAGTTTAAGATTTGTATAAATATTAACAAGAGTTAAAAAATTTGTTTGGCACAGAAGTTTCACTTCTGACATGTGTACTTTCTTTTGAGTCTCTTTTTAATGCATTTTTAAACAATTATTAGAAAATATTATTTTATTTATAAATAGGTTCTGCACATAGATTTATTTACACAGCGATATATAATAGGCAGCATGTCACTTAACATCAGATGGGATTGTGGCCAAACGTTTGTCCAGTTCTTTATAAAAAATAAAACAAAAACAAAATCTCAGAACACATTTCTTTGTTTCACATAGTACCGTATCGTATTATCTTTTATATAGAAGTAGTATTATAATTTTTTAATTTATTTAAATATCTCCTTTTTGATGACATATCTTCTGCCTCGTTATTAGCTACTTAAATATATTAATTGTGAATAATTAACCCTAGGATTAGCTTTTACATTGTTTTTTTTTCGATTTTACTTTGTTAATAGTTTGATGGTAATTATTTATGCACTTCTTGTACTTTACCCACTCACTTCTTGTACTTACCATCTGTTGTTTCATTTTTATTGCTCCATACTAGGGTTGCCATGAAGAAATCGCTTGTTAGCGATAAGGCCGCCTGCAAATAAATAAATAAAAATATCTTTCTTATTTTGTCTCTGCACTCTCAATGCCGAGTTGTGAGTTGTGTGTCACGAGTGCGTTGCCGGCCTTTTAAATTCGAATGAAGAAAAAGTAAAACAAAAATTCTCATTACAATATAAAAAAGGAAATTAAATACATAAATACTACGAAAAAACCTTTTTTAGTCTAAATTTATATTTGATATTGTTGACGTTAATAGAGCGTATGAAAATGTTTAGAAAATAATAACCTAATTTTCATGGTTTATTGATTCATTAATATTCGACCCGACCGCAGTAGATTCATTAGCCACGCACTAATGCAAAGTATGTATCAGGCGTAAGTCACTGCGAATACGAAAGCTCTAGGAGGATCAAACTCGAAGTAGTTTACTTCGGGGGAATAGAAAGCACGGAAAGTTTGCTTGATAAAAGCAAATAAGAAAAACATGTGTTCTAGGCGGGCTAGAATTATAAGATTTTTATATTTTTACTAAAAATCAAATTTTTTTATATAATGAGAGTTTTTATATAAGGGGGGGTTCACACGTATCAGTTGGACGATGTCTCAGGAAGGACCCCCACGAGACACTCTCCCACTCCCCGCTTTTTTAAAAAAAAAAATTTTTGGCGGGCCGCCCCCCGGAAGAGTTCCAGCCATCAAGGTGATGTTGATGAAATTTAATGTTCCAATGTTTCTCGGGTTCACTAGCTAGAACGCCTTAATGCAAATAAATGAAATGAACTTTATTTATTTACTGGCAAGTTTCACATACATATAATAAAAAGTCCATGATAGTAAATATGTATATTTTTTTGAGAAACTTACAATAGTTTGGGACCAATTTTATAGCTCTTTTATCACTTAATGTTACGGATAACAGATAAGACGGACACACAAGATATTTCTTAATATATTTAAGCATAATATTGTTCAAAAACAAGCGTACAATAATATCGTAGTAGCCACGGAAATCAGTTTAAAGCAGATATTTAAAAACAATTAGTTTAGAACAACATATTTAAATATTATAAAAAAATAAATAAAAAAATATATTTTTTTTTTTTTGGGGGATAAGCGACATCTATTGGCTATAGTTATTATTTGAAGGCATCCCCCCGGCAAAGGAGGCCGGGGGTGGGCGGGGGGGGAAAAGGGCGGCGGAAAAACCCCCCGCTCCCCTTTAAAACCACCCCACACAAAAAACTTATTAGTTGAAGACTCTCCCAGCCCTTTCCTAGATAATCGTTACTTCATATAAGGCTAGCATCAAAAGATGGCGTGATAAGTACAAAAAATTTCAACTTTAGATGTTAGTAAATTAACATTAAAACATGGAAAAGATATCTTTATAAAATTCTGAATTTATTGAATTTATTAATTATAGATTAACGAACACCCTCTTCTGCAGGATGAAATTTTCCCTTAAATTTTTTTTTTTTTTTTTTGTTTTTTTTTTTTTTTCAAGTCTCTTCGGCCATCGTATAATCTGTAATTTTGAATCATTGTGATTCCGTGATTGCGAAATAATAAGCGCCATCTATTGGCTTAGTGCGTCTTAGAAATTTCCTTTTAATCAAAATGTTTACATTAAAAGGGTTTTTTAGAATAATTAATTAACAATTCAAGTGCCTTTTAATCTATAATATGTAATTAATAAATGTATTAGGTTGGTGCCGTCTTAGAAACTTTTAACAAATTGTTCTTTGGGCGGTGAGCCATACATTCGAACTTTTCTAGCTAAAGAATAGATGGCGTTAGTGATGCTAAGTTGTGAAAATATATTATACCATTATAAAGAATACCATATTTATTAAGAATTTACTTTTTCAGTAAACATCCTTTTACTTTTTAACAAACTTGGGAAAAGAAGGTAATCAGTGATGTATGTGTAACTAGTTACCGCATTGGAGTAATATGTTATGGTAGCTTATTTTGTAAAATAAATAAATAGTTTGGCCTTTTTATGATATTATTTGAACATGATGATCTATTTGGCTAAAAGCACGACTGCTACATTTCGTATGCTTGTTCACGAATGTTTCAGAAACTAAAATTAATATTGATAACAATGATTACTTTTTTATTAATTAAGACAATATAAGTCGATGTTTATCTAAATAAAAGTTATTTTAACTCGATTTTTTTTACACTTAGTACCCACTAATTAAATTATTTTATTTTATCGGACTAATATTATAAAAACTCGCATTGACAAAATGAACCATTGAAACTTGAAAATATAATTTGAAACGATTTCTATAAACCCTAAAGTGGCGGTTATTTTTCATGTTATTTTTTTATGTATCTTTGAATGTAGCGTTGCTCACGGCAACGAATCAGATTTGCTTGGTCTCGTTGAATAAAATGTATTAAACGGTAATGTACCCGACATTATTTGTCTTAGGATTGGGCCTACTACATACTTAAAGTCTCTCGGGGCGTGGTGTGCAACCCAAGTCTACTCTATGAATTTGAATGTACCTATGGGAAATGTGCGACGTCGAAGGCCAAGGTAGTTTGCGATACCAAGGGCCACAACCAGTCTGTTGCACAGATCCTCGTTAACAAAGACGTTGCGCCTACTGAAAGCTGTCTCCGACACAATAGACATATTTATATGTTCGCAGAGTGAATTCACAGTAGCGATGTTGTGTGTTTTATTTATTTAATGTTAAATACTTTATTATATTGTATTCTTTCGACATTATCGTAGTCTGTAAGGATAACGTATGTATTTCTGTAAATAAATAAATAATGTATTTATATATATACTGGATATGAAGGTCTCATTACTGTAATGTTTAGATGACAGTGCAAAAAGTCAATGTGTATGACTCTAATCATCAATATCTTTGTATATCTGGGTTGGTCATTTTGAAAGCACAAAGGAAATCAATGAACACTTGACGATTTTGGGTTTGTATACTTCCAAGACCACAATACAAATAATTCTTGTTTAATATTTTTTTATACATTTTGGTTGGTTCCATGCTCTTGAAAAGGGATATTATTTCGTAATTTACTTATGTCAGGTATTTGTATTTCTGCAAATTTTGGTTGTGTAAAATTAAGAAGAAAATTATTCTTCTTCAACAAAGTATTGAATTTGAAATAGTCCAGATATATCGTGTTATTTTGCAAGAATCACCGTTGTATTTACTTTTCAATATTTTTTTTATATAGGATAAATAAAAACTACAAAATATCAGCATCGATTAGTTTATTTTGTCAATAAATAATACAAAAATATAATTCTATTGTAATTATTTACAATCTTGTAGTTCACATGGTACTTACACATACTATCAACATATACTCGTAAATCAAGGAATATTACATAAAGAAATATAAATGTATTATAACATCACATGTATAAAACATATTAAATTGTAAAAATTACAAATCATTTACACAGATTTGGGTTGAAAATATTAACAATATGTATGTAGCTGATAAAGTCACCGGCACTTAGCAAAAGTTATTAGGAGGGGTCGTTTTTTTGTTATAGGCAAGTAAAACTTGCGCGAACTTTTCCTCCAAATATTAAAATTTACTAAAGTGCCAATACTAAAAAGTCGCTGATTTCACTGAAAATACATTTAAATTAACATAAATAAGCACCTTATTACTATATCTTACTCATAAGCGCCGTAAATAGTTGAATGTTTTGCATGGCATTTTCAGACGTACACAATTACAAGCTATTAGCGCCTCATGAATAGGTCTAAAAGTCTTTTCTAAAAAGGCTTATCAGCCTAGTAATACTAGTTGAGATATTTGTGAAATTCACAAAGAAAAATAAATAAGGACAGACAATACAGATAGAAAAGGAACTAACATACTTATCTTAACATCAATAAATTAAAATCACTAACTACAGAATACTAAATATCACAGAGCGAGTACCCAATACTTATTCAACGAAATTCGAGCAACTCAGTAAACGTCAGAGAGCAAATACCTACCTAACCTTCAACTTCTATTCCTAAATCGCTTGTTGCCTTTCTTCTCTCGCAGTTTCGCGTGATATGCGGCGCACTTCTTGTCCTTCTTACTGAGCGGACATCTGAACTCCGAATACCAGTTATTCAGTAAGTTTCCGTAACCTCTAAACGCAATATAGTCGTTCTTGAGACATTGCGTTGCGTCAACTTTCATCTCCAATGTGTCGAGTTTGATCTTGGTTTTGTCGAACGACGGTTCTGGCATGTTCACAGCCACCATGTTCTCAGTTATTTCCGCCATTGTGCTTCGGAGTCTGTTTATTGTGTTGTCAAGGATCTTCTCCCGTAAAGCAACGTAGTTGTTGAACGGGTCGTCGGATAGGTTTACTTGGACGTTGCGTAGTCTTCTAAAGAGTAATTCGTATTCGCGCAGGGTCTTGTACAGTTTCGGCATCAGATAGGTGAACTGTAACAAAGGAGAAATAAATTTAATAATGCAGAACTGAGACTTTTACAGCAGTGTTGGCCTAGTGGCTCCAGCGTGCGACTCTCATCCCTGACGTAGGTTCGATCCCCGGCTGTGCACCAATGGACTTTCTTTCTATGTGCGCATTTATTCGCTCGAACGGTGAAGGAAAACATCGTGAGGAAACCGAAATGTCTTAGACCCAAAAAGTCGACGGCGTGTGTCAGGCACAGGAGATCTACTTGCCTATTAGATTGACAAATGATCATGAAACAGATACAGAGGCTCAGACCTAAAGAGGTTGTAGTGCCACTGATTTAGTAGTTTAAAGTGCACATAAGGAGTGCGGTACAGTTGTAAAAAATGTAGCTTAGTTGTAATTATTAGAGTTCAAACCAGCCTAAGGCTTGCCTCGGAATGATTCTCTAGTAAAGAATTAAGTTATGATACATTGACAATGTGTGCGTATAAAGCCCTTTATCGTGAATATTTAACGATGCAGCTAATTGGTGTCGAGGCCTCGTGATCCAGTGTCTTGATCCGTGTAACTATTGGAATGCATTCAGCCTCAAACGTTGTATAAATGGCTTTTGTTAGCAAAATCTTCGACAACGATACTTTTATTATTTGTTATAAGTAAGAGCTTTCATTGAAATTTGACGCCTCTTAAAACCAATTGCTTTAGCATTTTAGTATTGTAAATCAAAATAGTAATAATAATATAAAGATACATTATTTTAATATTCGATTCTGAAGCTTTAAAATAGTGTTACTAGGTTGTTATTTAAGTTGTTATTAATAACTGGCAACATGAATGGTATATCGAGACATGACATAAGGTTAATCGTCTATGGATTAGGAAGGACATTCAACAATTAATAATTATTGTTTTATCTGTATTTACATCATCACGATTTCCAATGGCTTTATTCATGTCTCAATCGATATTTAATGCACTATACTGTTATAGGACGAAAGTTGAATATTATTTTATCTGACGATTTTATAATGATTTTGATCATTTTTAGCAAACGTTTTTTGAATATTTGTGACATGAAGGTAGTATTCGAGAATCAAATCTTGTTTTCTGTCAATTCAGCCATGCAGCAACTTTGAACAAATTATATATTGCCTCGACCTAAAGTTCAATTATTTTATCTGTAAATTAATTTAAAGATTTAAAATGAAATATATTTATTTATAAAAACTTAGATTGTGCACAATAAGAGAATAAAAAAAAACAAGAAATGAACTAACTACTATAGGCTCTAACAAATAATAGAACTTTTGACACTTTACTCAACGGACAATAAAAAAGTTCCGTCAACCTATGTAATTCGTTAACTATATTTTAATGACAATCTTATTTATATATTTTCTACGCAATCTAATAAATGTATATATAAATCAGACCTAGAACAATAACATAGTAGACCCTAACAGCTATGATAGATGTCCACAGAAGTCGGTAGACAGGAACAACCGGTTACAATTGTATTATGTTTTTGTCATTTTGCAAGATTAGCGTTTTTATATTCTATATTTCCCTGCCACTATAACAACGTACTATTTTTACAAGTATGCCATTTTGACACGTGTATATTAATGTAACTTTTTTCATATTTGTGTGTGATGTGTGATAAATAAAATAAAAAGTGTTCAAAATCTGATAGTTTGTCTGATTTAACGAGTTAAAAAGGAACTGCTGGTGCGGATTGAAAAATTAATTTGCCTATTTAGCATATCGAGGAAGGCTACAGATAACGAATGAAGACAAGTAACGCTGGCATCACTTATTATTTTTCCACGCATGACTAAATATAATATTATTAATAATAATATTTTTGTGCCTAAGATCACAAATTTTATTTTATTTATTATAAATTTTATACGTAGATTATTAAACTTTTATAAGTGTTCATAAAATCCTAATCGTTATAATAATATTTGCACCTAAGATCACAAATTTTATTTTATTTATTAGTTATTTTATACGTATCTAATATATTATAATTCTTAATGACTACGATTAGTAATTAAAATGGAATTCCGAGCGGAAATATTAAGTAATTAATTATGTCACTGTCTGAAACAGTGGTCATAACAGTGAGTAACTGTTTCAGGAAAATAGTCGGTGAATGAATGAAATCATCTCATTCATCGTTCCCGGAACGGGGACTCAGACTAGACGAAGCGCCACTTGTGGTTCGGGACGTGAGTTCTGAATCATAACGCCAAGTGTGATCAGGGTCAGTTAGAGTGAATGTTTGAATATAGATTTAAAGCTAGTTTTATGAATTGTCTTTGCACATAGACACAATTCAACATTACAATCTAGCTTAAGACTTATAAGTAATAGAAAACTAACCTAATTTACTAAAAAGGATTTTCAACAAAAGTGTCCAATAACACAAATTACAGCCTCTGGCTAAATTAAGGGGAACTCTGTTCTTGTGTACAATTTTTCCACTTACCACTGTTTAGCACTTAATATAAGCTAACAATAAAAAACTTTGAATACGTGTTTGGGAGCTTGTAGCCTTTTGATAAGTGCTGTTAAAATATTCAAATTCTAATCCAATTCACGCATTAACCTAAGTTTTAACAAAGAAAGTTACACAATTCTTAAACCCATAATAGGGATGATTATTTTACGCTTCATAAAACCATTGAGATGAGAGCATTGTGAAGGGAGAAATTGTCGAGTGCTAATAAAAGCGTCGAGAGTCCAGCAAATACTTAGGATAAAACTGGCCCGACAATGCGCCGTATTTTCGCTTAAGCTGAACTTAAACCGAGAACGTGTCGAAGACAAACGCGTCGCGCCGGAATCATAAGTCCACATTAGTCTCACTTGGACAAATAATGTGTTTTTAACATTTCATGTTGTTTTGTTAAATCGTAAATACTGTACAAACATTCTGCGTCGACGCGAAAGCCGTGTTAGAGGAATGTCTGCCCTTTACATAGCTGAAATACATAATCCTTATTTACGACACGATTACTTAACTGAAGGTACACGGTTACAGAGACAATACGCATGAGGTAGCTTAGTTTCGCAGTGCGACTTAAAGCAACATTTATGCTTACATTTAAAAAAAGTAAGTCGCCCAAATTCGTCTAACTGTATGAACGTAATTACCTTAAAAAGTAGCGAATTTTCGTACTGTTTTCCCTATTAGATAAAGTGATTTCTGATTGATTGATATGATATAAAGTAAATTGACTAAATTATAACGATTTTGGTTGCTGGCGTTAGTAAATATCTTAATATTTAATGGCCTTAGTTAATTTATATCAAATACAAAGTAAGTAAAATATTCCTCCTAATTATTGTCAAGCTTGTGTGCATTCTTCAATATTCATTAGAGAGCCCTCCGCCTAAGTGTTTAATTTTCAAATCGTTAATAAGTTAACGCACTTGAATAACGCTTTCCTTTGCCCAAAGTTAAATATTTAATTTTGTTAAGTGGTCACGCATTGACGGACTGTCGAAATATACACAAGAATTAATTCAGTCACATATAAGACTCAACACTTGTGTGTTAGAAGATTATTTATGACCGCACTGGGCAAGGCCTTTTGTTTACAAGGACATTCGACACTGCAGTATTGTCTAACTTAACTTTTGTGTACCAATTAGTGGGTGTCCATTATGCATACCTAATAGAAAGTCGCAGTCCAGATGTGTGTTCGGTAAATAATAAAGCTTTGAAAGATCCGTTACAATGGATATTTAAGGCGGAGGTGGAATTATGAATATTAAAAAACATAGTATGTATTGGTTCCTTGGTATTTGGAAGGCCATATATACGTATAAATGTTATCGATTATGAAAGTAAAACAAACCGCTGTATTATATGTTGAGTCATTTTGGATGTACTCGTAAAATGCGCTTTATTTAATAGTTGCAGGTAAATTTTGTACTTAAGCTCACCTCGTGTTAAGTGATACCGCCCATGAACACTCTTAACACTAGTGGGCTTGCGAATGCGTTGCAGGCTTTTTAAAAAATTTTAAGCTCTGTTCTTTAAGGAACTTAAATCGAATTATTTCGGAAAAATTCAATAGGCAGCTGGTTCCACAATCCACATAGTATCAAAAACTGGCTTAAAAACGCTCAGTTGTGGAACGACGGACGTCGAGGTGATACGGGTCGAATATAAACAAAGCAAAGCTTAAGTTGAGCTTTTAATTATCAAATCCGCTTGCAAATAAAGCTGTTGATTTTATCGTTTAGAGTTTTTATTGACGGTAATGTGCTGTTATTTACAGAGGCAATACGGCGAATTCCCTTACGATGACTTATTATCATGTAAATTGCAAAGCTTATAGACACAATACTAAGGAGAAAAATAAGTTACATTGTAATGAGCGAAACTTTAGTTTAAATAAGTTGTTGGCATTTACAGATCGCGTGCAGGATCCATCTATGCAAATTTCTTCGAAACACTTAACTGGCTACTTAGACCCCAAGCTGGAAGCTTCAGATTCACGCGCCACCAGCCTAACATGAACTTTTTCCCTCGCTTATTATTGTATTTCAACAATCCGACATTTATTTGCGGTCATTAAGCATTATTGATTTGCCTTTTCAATCTTAGTAGATTGAAAAGGAAGTAACTACTCGAATTAGTATGCGTGTACGCTAGTCTTAAGTTATATAGTGGTAAGTGAGAAATGGAACACAAGAACAGAGTGATTTCCCCGTATACACTGTAAGTAGTGTTATTGAACACTTTCATAAGTTAAATATCATTTTTAATTCAAGTTTGTTTTAAATTACTTTAAATTGTGACTTTGTGCAGAGACTATTTATTAAAAAATAATTATTAACATATGTTTTTTATTTAATGTACACCGCTTATATATGCGTAACACGGTCAAAATAAATAATAAATAAGCTATGCAGACGTAATTGACAAATTAATTAGACAAACGCCAGCCGTTCTAAAATTACAATGTTTGATCCGAACAAATTTTTAAATCAAGCGCGGCGTTAAAGATTAAGGCTTTGCTTATCGTTATTGCCCTTAAGTACAATGTGAAGTAAATAAACGGGGCACAAAGGCCGCCACATGTAATTTGGTCCGGCGAAACCTCATTTAAGTTGCAACGGTACAGCCTCAAAGGATTCATTGTCTCAAATAAGGCAAAAATAAATTAAAAATCTTGTAAAAACAGTGAGAAAACAAAAAGAGGGTGTGCTGGTCCATCCCATCAGACGCGGAATCGTCGGCGTTGGTAATTACACTGTCAGTGCTTTAGCTCATCAAATATGCTCTCAAACTAATCATAAGCTGTGATTTAAAATTGATACCCATTAATTTAGCATATCTCGGTCACTCGTAGATTAAATATATTTGTTGCAATTTGAAACATATTTTTTGCTGGACTGCGAATTATTACCACAATGTATTAAGCTCTATAAAATCTGTTAAGTAAGGTAAGTAAACACTTAACTATCGTGGTTTAAATGTCTCTTTCTTAGGTTATATCCTTTTTAATTCAGGTTTGTTAATTACTTATTAGTCTTGAATTAGGCTAGATCGTTAAATTGTGTCTTGCAGCGACTATTTATTATTAAGTTATTATTGACTTCAAAATAAATTATATTTTTTTATAGAATTATTACGACCGAAAATATATTAAACTCTATAAAATCTGTCAAGTAACTATACTAACAAAAAAACACCTTACTATAATGGTTTTAATGTCTCAAATGTCACGCGCCATTTAAGGATTCGTAAACGTAATTTCATCATATATTTCGTCGTAATCCTAGAGAAAACTGAATGAAAAATATTACCTTTCTCTCCGTGATCGAGCTCCCCGGTTTCCTCGTCATCCTGTAGTCATGGAAGTGGATGTCCACAAAATTGACTGTAGGCAGCCAACTCGGCATTCCATCCCTGTAGTCCCGCGTCTCGTTCAGCAACTTCCTGTCTTGGTCGAAGAACCTCTTCGTATTCCTTAGTTTGTGTTTTATTTTCCTCGTTGCGTTCTTATAGCTCTCTACTGTAGGATTTTTTGGTCTTTTCAGCGTCTCTTTGGTAAGTTGTGCCATTTCTGGCTGCCGTTTCTGATGCCGCCGCCTGTGTTCCACGGAACGCGCTTCGGCCGTTGTTGTACACATGGCTATTATTACTATTATGGATACAGCCACCAATAGCCTTTTAGGAAAACCTGAAAAAAAAATAACGTTATGTCAAGGCTTCCGATTCTATTTTTGAATTTTAAAACAAAATCAGCAATAATTGTGGCTTATCTTAAATACATAGTAAAATTGTTTGCTCTAATCTGTTGGTTGAAGTATGAACATTATTCTGAACCAGATTTTAAGTGTACGAATTGTATTTGAATTGAATGCGATTAACTCTGAAGTCGAAATTGTCATACCACGTTCATCATACAAATAGATCAAACTGTGTAAATCTTGTGCCGGCATGTTCCCATAGCGTACGGGAGTCACATAAAAAATAATAAGCTCCGTGATTTTAGTAAGCGCATCTTCGTCTCTTATTACCATGTGCACAAAGCGTAGGTATAATCTTCATCTCCGAGCGACTTTCTCACCGGCTATTACCTCTCGCACGCACGTGATTTTTCATGTCTGATGAACGGGTTTTTTTAATTTTCAAATAGGACAGGCCCATACTGCACAAATATGGCGAGCACTATTCTTTCGATTTATCGTCCGACTGTTATTGGAGGTTTTGATGTTTTGCGCCGCCTCATAAAACATATTTTATGTTCGTACTCTGACTCGTAATTCTAAAAGCGACGTTTTCGAACTTTTTAAGAGATAGGCTTTGTCCGATGTGCTAAAACGTAGAAAGTTAGCCTTTGATGTGTTGAACGCAAGCGCTGTGCACATTTACATTATTAACTGACTATTTATTCTGAATTGTACACATAAGTGTTTCTTCAAACAATATTTGCGGTAAATTCCGAATAAAATTCTCCGTAAAATAATTACTTATATGTAACATTACGTCTGTCTAGTAACTAGAATCGCGATTAAATTGTAAAAGGTTATAATTAAGTGAAACATGATGGAGGAACTGGCGCTGTACCTATTACAATAGTTACGTCAAACGAGGATAAGCGGCGGTTTATGGTCAGTGAATCATTAGGTCAATTCGAGTCGTTGACAATCTGATGTATGTTAAGTAAACAGCCTTACGTAGATAAAAAACGGGAGGTGTGATTTGATGTCGGACTGCGATACGACGTGATTTTTACTAACAACTTTTTTACTCTGTGGCCGATCGTTATCTCTATTAATTGTGATCAAACAATGTTTTACCACGAAAACTAAGGTACTGCGACTATGACGCGATAGCTGGGGATTTCCCATTTGTTTATCGTCAACCGGACTATGATTTTGTTACATATTGTGAGTGCAATTAGAGCCTACGTAAACAACGGATTTTTAATTGCAATAAACATAATATTTACATATAACTAATCGATTGTCATCGACGCTTTCAAAGGAATTACTTTGAAACGCCGACGTTTGTTGAACATTCCCACACGAATCGCTGGCTCAGCTTAGCCGCACTCTTTCTTAATTTGTATTGTCAACTTCCAAAAACGAATTAATTAATTCAATACATCTGTCTTTACAATAACAATCGCTTAACACGTACTTATGGTTATTGAGATTTCAAAACGCGTTCAAGTGGCGATCCAATTAGAATTTCCTTTATGTTACAAATATTTTAATTATAATAATTTAAACTTTAAAAAAATCTTAAGCTAAATTAAACAGCGATTAACAAAAACATTTTTTACGCCACTTAACGAAACACAAACTACCCTTTCTACCCACAAATGACACCAAAAAATTAAAACACAAAACACACCAGTTAAAAAGACATCCATGAACAACGCATTGATGGAGATCCTTTAGCCAAGTCCATATTCATGCAAACGCGAAATCACAGTTCACTTAGTCACAAGGGTCTATCAGGACCATTTCAATACGAGGTAACCGCGGAGCGTGCGAGGCCGGCGCACGAGCAATCGTCGCTCGTTGAATGAGCACCGAAATGCGGGACCGTACATGAAATAGCCGGACTATGCGAAAACCCTTACGAACTCCGACCCTAAGGCTTCCTTTGGGTCGGTGTTAGCCGCCCACGGAAATTCAAATTTTTCAACGATTTCATAACTCTAATTTGTTGAATCACATGTTACGTCATGTCTATTACTCACATTCGTTAAAGTAGTAATTCAAACTAGAGAAAGTGTTTTGTTTACATTACATTTAATAAAATACTGTTTTGATCGATTAGCAATGATAATTAGTACAAGTGAAATGTCTAGATAGTTTTGTGAATCGTTTAATTAAAAGTTTCGTTAAGTCTTCTGGTGAAAAGTTTACTATAACGACTTGAAATACAGTTTTATCTACAGTTTTATTATTCGATATATATTTTAGGATGTGTGTCGGTCAAAATAAGTAATGTATAATTATTTAGTAAACATGAAAATTGAAAATCTATGATTTCTTAAATTGTGCAATTTTTAGACCACATTGCTGATTCATCGATGAGTCTAAACTTTTTATCGGTTACACAGAGCAAGCGACACTTTTTACTATTCAAATAAAACACCTGTTACTTCGCCTGTCAAGTTACATCATAGAATTTGATAATTAATTTAAATATGGAACAAAAAATATCTGTTATAATTATAACATTCCAGTCTTAATTATGATATTACATATATATAAATATAGTACCTACTCATTCTACTGTGTTATAATAGTTAATGATTTAAATGTCATTTACTTGGTGCTAATAGCTAATTTGATTATTTAAACAAGTATTTTCTTATAAGATATAAGTGTAATGAAAATATTATGTCACAAATTAATATTTTCGATAAGATTTTTGGTTTTGCTATATTATAAATATTTTTTTTCATACTCGATATAATATAATATTAAAAATTACATACAGCCGCATCCTTAAATTATTTAGTACGGAATGTTAACTTCAAATTATAAAACAAATATTTGGTCAAAGGTATACAATAACTTTCGTCTTTTTATCCGAGTCTGACTCGAGCAAACACGTTGAAAAAAGGCAAAGAACAAACGTGAACAAACTAAAAAGTAAAAGATAGGTCTACCGCGACAGCGATCAGTGCTCATAAAAGTTACAAATGCAAAATTATTATTTGCCGTACTGGTTATCATTGTATTCTTTGTGTGTTCCTGGTTTATTTACATTGACACGTTTTTTTGTCCGGTTAACAAGGAGACATGTATGTATATTTATATATATTTTTTTTTTTTTACGTTCATAAGTGTACATTTGTTACCTTAATATAGGTAATATATGAGCAATAAATGATTTTGACTTGATTTGACTATTGAATTACTGTAGATATTAGACAGAATGCAGGTTATTTGTTAAAGTTCAGCACATCACATATAATGCTATATCTACAGTATATGTTACTATCTATTCTAAATCTAAAATACATGACGATTATGTTACAAAAAATAATACAAATTTTATATTTTACTAGTAATTTTTTTTTTAAATCAGCTCTGGATAAGTCGTGATTATTCAGCAAAGAATTTGAATGAGAGTCCTGAACTCCTAGGTTGGTTTTTGCAGACGGAATTTGAAAATTCGGATTTTGAACCTTGGAAATGAATAAGGGAAAATGTTAATATTCTGTATTTGCCAATTTAAAAAAATTGCATAAGAACGTAACACCGGCTAATGTAATCTCCAAATAGTACATGAATTTGAAGATTTTCTTTGCAATTTACGAATGACAGGTTTTGACATTTTATGTTATGAAATTTTGACAGTTGTATGAAAGCCTCATTTTCATAAATAATTAATCTGTGATACGAATGAGGCTTATAGATAGTTATGTAGGCTGCTTCAGTGATCTTAGGTACATACTAAGAACCTTTATGACGATAACTTATAAAAGCGCAAATGCAAAGTGTTTTATCTATTCCAATTTTAATTAATATATCATGGTAACAAGGGTTTTTATGGTAGTGGAGATTCCCACCATTCCGTCTTGTGACATGATGACACAGCTTTCGTCAATTAGGAGTTTTTATGTGAAAATAAGTTTGTAATTAGCTTAAGTAGAGGCTTTCCGGTCGGCGATTGTGTTCAGCGTTTACTCAAACGAATCGCCAGGTTTTTACGGTGTCTTGTGACGTGAATATAAAATGTTATCTGTTGAAAGTAATAATGGTTAATTGTCGAATGGAGGAATCTTTTGATTGGCGATGGATGAAGATTGAATACTGACGACTGGAGACACTGATTTTTTATAGTTACATAGGAATTATGAGATAATTATGGGAACGAACGGGATATGTATTGTGTATCTCGTGGTTAAGAGGTTTTAAGAAAGAAAGAGAAAGAATTTGCTCTTCATCTGTGGTGGGTTGTGAAAATGCGTGGTACCAAAATGGGTACCCTTAAGTATGCTTGGAGAACCCTCTGAGAGCCTTTAGAGAGGTAAGCTTAAGGTAAAGTTTTATAGTAGTCTGTGTTTATAGAGCGTACTATTTGTATTGTAATTGTTACAATCGACAAATTGTATCGAAGTGTAACGAAAATGTTAGCAATGTCTCAGCAATGAGTCACGGATTTCCCAAATTTTCCCGAAAACCACGTCATTGTGGAAACCGTCTGAAAGCCTACAAGAGCGGTGTCGTGTCTCTAATATTACTCATCAATACTTTTCAATATTTTTTCAAAATCGCGGTAAAACAAAGATTAATAAGGTTAACTTTACTGTGTATTGTTCAAAACAAAACATAGTTTCAGTAATTTAAGTTTACCGTAAAGCAAATGCAGCTTCCGCGCCGGCGCAACTAAATGGTGTTTCGGCCGCAATATAAATCAAACTTGACTTTTGAGCTCTTCGCTGTGTTCTAAAGCTCCATCAGTTAGCTGTTAATGCCACAGAGTAGGGGAGTGTCAAAAAAATTACAATAGTATAAGTTAAACGTTAACTTTATGATTGTATTCTGTGGAAGTTTATGGCTTTGTGCACAGAGTATAGTAACGTGTTTAGTTATTGTTATATAATATTAATGTTATATCAAGAAAAAACCGTGAAACATTTTTGTTAAAAATTAGACCGATTTTAGCGACATTATCGAAATTCAATTTTATTACTTAAAGTACTGTTTGTGTATAGATTAGAATAATACAAATTATTTCATTTGTTAATTGTATATTTGCGATTTTGTAATATTCAGGATAAAACTATTTATATATAGAGGAAAATCGATAATGTGTAAAGATGAGTATAATAATTCAATAAGATTGCTTCAATGTTCAATAAAAAATAATTTCGATTGAATTTACTTACGATAATTAATTTTCATCCTTGGCGCCTTCGAACATCCACTGCACAATGCACAATTATCTATCATCTTTGATGTCGTAAATTATATCACAGCAAATAAATATTCTTTGGTACACAGATTAATATCAGTCTAATATCACTGGCACATAACACTAAAATAAACGAAATCTATGGATTTTAAAAATCGAACGTTTCGGGTCAGGCTTGGCGCGGTTACGCTCAGTTCGCCGCGTTACGTGTAATGTATGTCCTGAACGGATTTCCACGGCTTTTATGTAGTTCGCCGGCGCTCCTGTGATAAAGGGTGCAAAAAACGGATTGTTTGCAGAGGGCCCGCAATTACGTCACAGATAAGACGTCGCGCGCGATCTAAACGTAAACGGGCACATGCTATTACGCAAGACGCTGTTCAAATAAATATAAGCATGTGGTCCTGAGCCGGATCCTGGAGAGGTGTGCGAAAATTGTAACTAGGAGATCGCTATATTTGGATATAAATAGGATTATGTCGACTAATATTAGAAAAAAGTTATTAATTTTTTGTTGTTTATTTTTAAATTAAAATTTCAATTATAAAATGATCCTTGAAATATTTTAGTATAGTGCTTTATAGATTACTTTCAGCATGGCCTAGCACCTGAAAATTTAGTTTTCTTACAATTTAATCTATATTACAAACGAATAGGGTTGTAAATCGTAAATCTGTATGGAACGCGGATATAACCCACATTTTAAAAATGTAAACAATACTAAAATATAGACATATTCCAGATTCGTTAATGTATGTATTCCGCAATAACCTATAACAGATTATCTAACATCTCATAGTCTATCTCTTTTTAATGTGGTTGTCTCTTTCACACATAATTACTGTCTGAAAATATCCATTCGATTTGTTTAATTCAAAAAATTAATAGTCAAGAGTGATATAATCTCTGGAACTGACATTATAATGTTACTGGTTGGTGAGAATTTAAAAAGGTAGAATGAAAAATTTTGGCGGGCGGTTAAAACCATTTGTAATTTCAGCGGGGGAGTTGCTTACTCTATCATCCCGCCTCCATGAGCGTTCCGCCTCTCGATTTAAATCCCAAAATAGTCCTGCTTGATTGGTCGCTGATCTCTTCCCCTATTACGTAACTACGTAGAATTTGATTTTAGGATTATTTTTCTAATATAGAAACGTTTTTATATTACGCACGTAAGAATTTTGGTCCATAAAAAATAATGCTAATAATAATTTATTTTACGATATATAATTAATTGTTCTCCAATTTCGAAATATAAAATAAATAAAAGAAAATCAGTGCACATTGAACTTACGACCTCGGGGTTGTTGTAAATTTATTTAATAGTGCAGAAAACCCTTAACAGTGACGTCACAAAATCTACTTAGTGACATAGTTACAGTATTTCCAATCGATTACCGACGTTACAATTATTACGTATAGTCAATACCTTATTAATAGAAACAAAAGAGCCAATTATACCATTACAGGCTTCCTATTACACCGTAACGT